CGTTCTAGCTCATGTCTTCATCTTAGAATCTAACCGAACCACCGACTCTGGGCGGGTCCCTGGTGTGATGCCTTTTTAAGGTCTCGGAAGATTCCCGCCTCTCAAGATGGCTTGTCCAATGAGAAAGGCTGAAATCCCAAGCGGGAGTTTGGAAATACTGGGGAGTTTTATGACCCTTTGTGTGGAAGCATGGTAATTTGCATATGGAACTTGAATCGAAATTACTAAAGATTCTCAGGACACTAATATATTGCCTATGTACCAACATATAATATACACTCTCGTTTAGATCATCAGAAGACTAATTCATAGATACTAAACATGGTAGGATTACATATAGGTAAGATGACAGGAGCGAGTGGTTCCATCATAAGCCTGCATAAAACAGTATAAAATATCAAAGACAACATACACAATGACCTGAAGGATATGTGTGTTCATTCAAAGAAAGGTTTTCCTATGAATTAATTAGAGAAAAGTCCATTTCTACTGTGCATTGTGTCTCTTCCTATGGAAAAGGCAGTGATTCTCTCTACTCACATTCCTCTGGGCCATAAAACCAGTGATATCAGCATTAGTTGCCATGGGGACCAGGGGGGGCCTGGTGTCATTCGCAGACATCCTGGCACCCAGTCTATTGGGTGAGGGGTCTGTGACGACTTGTTAATCTAATGAATAACTGATTTGTTAAATCAAATGAAAAATTGTGTTTTTGATTGGTCCAGACGCTACAATTGTGAACAAAATACAGATACATTATTTAAAATACAGACAACATAAATGCACACATTTGAAACATGGCCATACAATATTGTTATAGGCTAAATGAAGAAAAACAATGTTGAGAGTGACAAAGGCTTATTTGCAGTATTTTCAGTGCTTTTGTTTATATATAATTTTATACATTCAGATTTCAAACCTTCTTCCTGAATCTTATGCAGTAGATAACAGTTAAAGCTTAAGCAGGTGCAGACTTTAAATGCCACCGGGGGAGTTGTGTGACACCCATTTGTTAAGTGTCTGATCATGATCACACCCCTGTGTCGGAGCTCTCTGGTGCTTTTGCATCAGGCTCAAGACTGTTCTCTTGTGTGATGTCTCCATTTGTGTCCTTCACAGGCGGCTCAGTGCAGGGCTCAGTCTTGTTCTCCTCATCCTCTTTACTCTCCTCTTGTGCTGTGGTGACCTCTGATAGCAGAAGGCAGGTCTCAGTTGGCTGCCCGTCCACTTGGCCTTCATCCCTGCATGGCGATTCACTCTTCTCTCTTACGGCATGTCGGTCAATGTTGTCATAACGATGCTGGAGACTAGAGATAATTCCTCTCAGGTGACAAACCTGGCAGGCACATATCAGTGTGGTCAGCAACAATGCCAAGCAGCCCACTGTGAGAGCAACCACAATCAGTTGCAGGTTATCTTTACCAGTTGGTAGAAAGAAAATACAGTGTCCTTCCTTGGGTTTAGTAGTGGCCTGAGTGCAGACTGATTGTTTATTTGTTGTCGCTGCAGAGTTTAGTTCGGTGGTCTGTCTGTTAATGTTGGATGTTGGTGGTGTGCCATTTTTGTCATTTATCATAGTTGTGTCTTCTGTTCTTTTGACTGATGTGACTGGTGTTGTGTTGTTCTTATTTGTGGCTTTAGCAGGTGGCGTTCCGAAGAGCAATGCAAAGTATACAAAATAAACTGTTCTGGGACTTATCATGGTTCTGCAAGACATAAGAGAAATAAGAAGTTTTGTTATTTTACTTTCTGTTAAAAAAATTTAAGTTATAAGCCATTATTTACATACCATTTTTCTACAAATTTATCTTTAAAATCAAATGAATGTCCCTGCCCCTGTCCTATTTCTATTGAGTTAATTTCTACCGAGGAGGATATTTCATATATATATATATATATATATATATATATGTATATATATGTATATGTGAAATTTTATTTTTGAATGTTTATTGTTGGATTCTTTTTTCTTGCTTAGTTCTTCATGTACAGCAGATTAATTTAATGCAATATATCACTTAGATTTACCATCATATTAGGCAGCCATATCACCCTGTAGCCCAAGACTGGTTGCCCACTGAAGCTAAGCAGGGCTGAGCCTGGTCAGTACCGGGATGGGAGACCTCCTGGGAAAACTAGGTTGCTGCTGGAAGAGGTGTTAGTGAGGCCAGCAGTGGGTGCTCACCCTGTGGTCTGCGTGGGTCCTAAACACCCCAGTATAGTGCGCTATATAAATGTAATGAATTATTATTATTATTATTATTTGTGTGACGCTAATCTGCGGTGATTGGTCGATTGATCTCATTTTCATTTCATCATGCCAGTAATGCCTGATAAAGCAGCATTTGTGAACGCAGTGCTGCTTTGTTTACAGCCGTTACCGGGGAAACAGCTATTTTTACCGCTCCAATTTTACCTAGTGACAAAGAATGAATTTGGATTTTCATTCAGACCCACACGAAAAGACCAACAAGTGGGCGGGCAATATGCTAATGTTTCATGTTGACGTCAACATGAAGCGGCTTGGGATTCGTTTTAAAAACAACTCGTTTCACTGTTTCAGAGTCGACTATTTCTTTTGAGAGATAATAACTTCATACATGGTGCACTTTCAGATTTAAAACTTTGCAGGATGTTTTCATTCACTTAGAGCTGTATTACACACTGCATGAAAGGTAATTTTCAAAAATCCATAATAGGGGCACTTTAAGCTTTTATGACCATTGAAAATTTGGATGGATGGCTTTGTCAAGCGTACGTCAAAGTTTGTCTTGACAAACTTCCTTTTTCTAGTTATCAGTCTAATAATAACAGCATTCGGTGGGTTTGCAGGCCATTGTTTCCATTTTGTCTGTTTTCCTCTCCCTCACAGATTCAAGACAGGACAGATTAATGGGGACTTACTCATATACCACGTCCTTCTCACCCTCAAACCATACTACGCCAAGCCCTACGAGCTAGTAGTGGACTTGACGCATGCTGGTCCGAGCAACCGCTTCAAGACCGACTTCCTCTCCAAATGGTTTGTTGTCTTTCCAGGATTTGCTTACGAGAATGTGGCTGCCATCTACATCTATAACTGTAACACATGGGTACGAGAATACACCAAATATCATGAGAGACTGCTGACGGGCCTCAAGGGCAGTAAGAAGTTACTGTTCATTGACTCGCCCGCACGGCTGGCTGAGTATGTGGAACCAGAGCAACAGAAGCTTCCGGCAGCTACTCTTGCACTGGAAGAAGACCTGAAGGTCTTTCATAATGCCCTAAAACTGGCCCACAAAGACACCAAAGTGTCCATTAAGGTGTGTGAAGAAAGATGAATACCTCTTCATACAGCTCGGTTTCACTTTTTTTTATTTGTCTCAATATGTTTGATTCTGTCTTTTCTCCAGTTGGGCAGTACAGCAGTACAGGTGACCTCAGCCGAACGAACGCGAGTCTTGGGTCAGTCGGTCTTCCTCAACGACATCTACTATGCTTCAGAGATTGAGGAGATCTGCCTAGTGGATGAAAATCAGTTCACACTGACCATTGCTAACCAGGGCACGCCGTTAACCTTCATGCACCAGGAGTGTGAGAGCATAGTTCACTCGATTATCCACATCCGTACACGTTGGGAGCTCTCTCAGCCTGACTCCATTCCCCAGCACACCAAAATTAGGCCCAAAGATGTTCCGGGGACCCTTCTCAACATCGCCCTCCTCAACCTGGGCAGCTCTGACCCCAGTTTAAGGTGATCAGTTATCCTAAATCCATCAATAGTGGTCAGATGTTTACCAGTGTGTACATTCTTAAATATTTCTGTCTCTCTGTTTTGTTTAAAGGTCTGCAGCTTACAACCTCCTGTGTGCCTTAACATGCACCTTTAACCTAAAGATTGAAGGCCAACTGCTGGAGACTTCCGGCCTCTGCATCCCTGCCAATAACACCCTCTTCATTGTGTCCATTAGCAAGACTCTAGCAGCTAATGAGCCTCACCTGACCCTGGAGTTCCTGGAGGAGTGTATCTCTGGCTTCAGCAAGTCCAGTTAGTGCCCCATTAAGCCCTCAATTAAACTCTCAAAAGACCCTTGAGATCCTCCAGCCATTTCAGATCATTAGTCGCATTCTCTGTTTTGCCTTGAAATCCTCCTAGGAAGTTCCTACTTAAAACTGCTACTGGAAGGCATCATTAGTCCACAAATGTTTAAACTGATTGTGTATTTGCTGTTTGCAGTTGTCTACAAGAGTACACACTTAAAAATAAAGCTTCCAAAATGGTGTTTTTGTAGCAGTGCCATAGAAAAAACATTTTCAAATAACCTTTCAGTCAATAGTTCTTAAAACAGCCATTTTTTTTTCTTAGTTTGAAGAACAATCTGAAGAAACTTTTTCCACTATAAAGAATTGAAAGGTTCAATGGATGTAAAAGGATCTTCAAGGAACCAAAAATGCCAATAAAGAACCTTTATTTTTAAGAGTGTTAATACTTTCTCTGGAAATAAGAATATGGAGTTAAGAAGTGTTCTGGTAACCAATATCTTTCCTCTGTATATTCAGGTATAGAACTAAAGCACCTGTGTTTGGAGTACATGACTCCCTGGCTGCTGAACCTGGTACGCTTCTGCAAGCACAGCGATGATGCCAGGCGTCAACGAGTCACAGCCATTCTGGACAAACTCATTACCATGACAATCAACGAAAAGCAGATGTATCCATCCATTCAGGCCAAGATCTGGGGAAGCCTGGGACAGGTAACAGAACTGAAATGTATTTTGCACTGTAAAGCTGCTTTGACACAATCTGTATTGTATAAAGCGCTATATAAATAAAGGTGACTTGACTTGACTTATGTGACACATGCATTGAAGGCATGAGTAATTGAAGAGTAATGCATTGCTATTTGCAGTTCCCTAGTCATATTCATTACTTCATCACTTCCTTGAAGATTTATACTTACACTTTAGAGAGCATGTCTATGTTGAGCTGATGGTAGCTTCCTGTGTCTGCAGATAACAGATCTACTTGATGTAGTTCTGGACAGTTTTATTAAAACCAGTGCAACAGGAGGTCTCGGATCCATCAAAGCTGAAGTGATGGCAGACACAGCAGTGGCTTTGGCCTCTGGTAACGTCAAACTGGTGTCTAGCAAGGTGACGTGTATGCACACACACACACACACACACACACACACACTTTGTAAGTTCAGCTTTTAGAAGTCTGTTTTTCCTAACATTACGTTTAGACCAGAAGAAACTTGAACAGGCTGAGGTCCAAATTTTAAGAATGTTTCTGAACATGTGAAAAAACAACGCAAAAGATGTTACATGATGTGATTCTGTAACAACAGCTGTAATTATGGAAGCACTGTGTGACTCACAAATGTGGTTTGGTTGGTTTATTTCTCTCTCGCTGTTGTTCTTACTCTCTTTAACCACCTTATCTGTTTCTGTTTCTCTCTGTCATGAGAGGTAGTGATTGTGCTCAGGTCATGGGCTTTTTGTTGGTTCATTGTGCTCAGCTGGGTTCTGTGAACCATACAAACTTAACATCTGAATATTTAATTAAAACAAATTCTTAATTTCCAAGCAGAACAATCCTAAAAGCTGTTTTTATGTTAATGGGAAACAGGAAATATGTTTTTTTATTTCTTTAGTATTCCTTTATGTATTGTGCTCTCCATTGTTATTTTAGTAGTATTTATATACATTTTTATATATTTTATTATATATACATTTTTTATATTTATAGATAAATTCTTATATATTTTAGTATTGTTTATTGATTATACTATTTATTCATATTTAAAATGGCAAGTTTTCTATTTTTCTATTTTCAGATTTATTTTTATTTTATTTTTAGTAATTTCATGCTTTTTTCATTTTTGTATCAGTTTTGTTTTTCCTATGTATCCTTATTTCAGTTTTAGTTTTAGTAATTTTAGTACTTCAACTTATTTCAGTTAGTTGCCAAGGAAGCATTTCTAAGTTTGGGGTTTTCAACTTCTATTTATATAATGTTAAATATGTTATATTCACCATTCTATTTTGTTTTATGTAAACTTTATTTAATTTACTGAAGCAGATTTTTAATAGTTTTATTATTTTTAATTTTAGTTTACCATAACGACGCTGGAATTCTCTCATCTAAATTTAACGTGGGTTTTATGGGAATTGAATTTTGTCTTCATGCTGATCCACAGGTGATCATTCGGATGTGTAAAATCATCGATAAGACGTGTCTATCACCCACACCGACATTGGAGCAGCACCTGATGTGGGATGATATCGCTATCCTGGCCAGGTACATGCTCATGCTGTCCTTCAACAACTCTCTGGATGTAGCCGCCCACTTGCCCTACCTCTTCCATGTTGTGACCCTGCTGGTGGCCACGGGGCCTCTTTCGCTGCGGGCATCCACGCATGGCCTGGTTATCAACATCATCCACTCCCTCTGCACATGCTCCCAGCTGAGTTTCAGCGGTAAGATGACATTTTTGCCCTAGATAGATGTTTTCATAGATCAGTGATTTATTGATAACTGAAGTGTCTTGTTCTTCTGCTGTGCAGAGGAGACCAAGCAGGTGTTGCGTCTAAGTCTGACAGAGTTCTCCCTGCCAAAGTTCTATCTGCTGTTCGGCATCAGCAAGGTCAAATCGGCTGCGGTCATCGCCTTTCGTTCCAGCTACAGGGATCGTTCGTTCTCTCCGGGCTCATACGAGAGAGAGACCTTTGCTCTGTCATCCCTGGAG